CGGTTGTATTGTAGAGTGGTTGTGGGAAGGAAGGCAAGACATGGAAAGGTGGAACACAGAGTTGCCTGTTGGAAGGTTGGTAGGAAACGAGATTTTAGGTAGGGTGGAACGGTTGTGGATGCAGGAAGGTTATTTGTGAGGGAGAAGTGAATTACGAGAGGGTGATAGGAAGAGTTGGACAACAGGTCACGTCCCAAAGAAGGTGGCGGCTGGGGCGATTGGATGATGCAGGGACACAGCTAGGAAAAGGGGAGGAGGGGGATGTGGGGCTTCTAGAAGAGAAGTTGGTGGCAAGGAGGTAGGGTGGAGGTGAAAGTTCGAGAGGAGAATCACCATCAAGGGAAAAAGATACAGTCGGAGCACCACCTTCCAATTGAATACAACCCTAGACAGAAACAGGATGTTGACGACAGTGCACTCATAATTGAAATAAAAAACAACATAAAACTAAATCCTAAGAAACTTTCATATAAATACTACTATATATGTAGGAGTGGCAATTCCAAGACTAAGGGCTGATTGGCTCTTCCCTCTTTCAATCGAATCGGTTCAAACCAGATCGGTTCAGTATGGGAGGAAAACCCCCATGTCATTCTCCGAGTGTTGGGGGAGCTTTTGGCTGCACATTGCTGGTGATGGAGTTGTTGTAATCTTCCGTGTCAGACGGATCTTCAACTGTCGTCTTAGTAGAACCTGGATCTCACTTTCGGCTGCACTGCCTCCCAAAATCTCAGAGGGGTTTGCTCCACTTGCAAGCGTACATCTATATCGGTCCACTCTTTTGGGACTGCATGCCTCATATATCCTGTTAAATCTTCCCAAAGTAACCCCTAATCGGTTCAATCTAATGTGCGGTGAGAATAACTCGAATCTTCTTACACGGTTTCAACTGCCCTGGTAGGTTGATCAAATAGGCATTATTGTTTTAAAGCACATTTTGATAGAATAGGTACCCATCCTCCTTCGATAGCCCCTAAGCTGAAACTGTGGATAGACGAAGATTCTCACGAGTCAGGTATCCAGCCGTCGCTATTGTAACCCATTTCTTCCACTTATCGTATTTGGTTGCGTGCAACTGATTAATTAATATGTGAGAAGTAAACTCTGGGTGACACCTATGGCAGGCTGCACCACTCTTAATTGCACCCACTTAGGAGAGTCATCTTCTTCACTGATAAGACATGGATCCCATTGAAGAATCTTTGTCCCCATCAAGTTCTTCGGGTCCATATAAAAATGAGGTTCATCTCTTCTGTTTAGACATCTGATTATGTGTCCCGTGCTGGAGTGAAAATAATCTTTGAATAACTCCATGTAATATTTTCGATAGAGCACAAAATGACCCCACCTTTGTCAGACTGGACCTCCCTCCATAGGGATAACTCAGGAAGGGGTCTATACATCTGGAAATTTGTATTTCTTTTCTGTGGTGGTCTTGTACCTGATGTCGACTCTTTAAACTCTTGACTTATTTGGACATCAAAGGCCAGTCTTGTTGATGTTCCTCTCAATGTGTGTAAAATGGTAGCTCGAGGCACCATACTCAGCATGAACGCTTATTACATCGAAGTTACTACCTTCTAGAACAATTATGGTTACCTCAATTGGAATCCCTCTCTTGAGTTCAATTGGAATCAATAATGTCTGTTCCTTATTGGTTGCAAGTTGAGAATTCTTTCTAAAGTCTACATCTTCACATGGATCAACAGTCATTGCCCACTTTTTCAACGACGCACTGCTTAGTGAAACAAAGCAATCTCCTAGTTTTGCATTCTTATTTCACATGCCAAAATACGTGACACTTGTAACACTTCCTGACCGTGATAGATTAAGGGATGTGGATCGGTCCTACCTGTTTTTCACTCTGAATCAGTTTTCCTCTGATGGGGTCGACTTCGGTTTTATCTTGGGTATATTCTAGCCGTAAGATGCTTAGGTTGAACTCTGCATGTAAGATGTGGTTGCTTGGTGATAAGGTCTCTCCGCTTTTGAAGCTAGGGTCTGAAGATTTTGTATGTAGTAAGCGGGCAAAAACTGGCGCTGCATCTCACGCTTTATCTTCAGATTCTCCCGTTATCCATATCTGGCCTCCTCTGACACTGGATTTCAAAGTATTGTGATCTTTTTTTCTTTATAACTGAAATCCTCTCTATAGAAGGGGTTAAAATCCTCGCTTCTCCGGGGTTTCATCAACGATGTACGCAAACCCACGTTAAAGTTGGCAGATCTCTCGCTGAATCTTTAAGTAGGCTCGGGCATGTATCTTCTTGGTGGCATACCTATGGTTTAAGGTTGGGAGGTGAAAGATGGTGCATTAGACTAATTGAAGTTGTAGAAAATTTAATTTGGGGTTTAATTTTGGAATGCATGGTTCAGGGTAGGAAAGAAAATTTTTCGGTGGGGGATAACGCGAATAATAAGAAACTCTATGATAGGACTATGGTTAGGCTAGCACTGATACCAAATGCTACCGGAGTTAACCCAAATCACAATAGAAAATAAAAAAATATTATTGTTGGAATTAAAATAGTTACAAACATGACGCTTGAAATAGGGAAAACAACAATAGGACACCGACTAGGGCGTAGGCGACGACAGTGGTGTTGTTGTTGGACATCAGGTATGGGAATAGGCAGTGATGTACAAGCATTGGATTGTGGAGCAGCGTCTGTGGATAGCTTGGAAGGAGCAGTTGTTGTGTAGGGTAGCTGTGGGAAGGAAGGCAGGACACGAGAAAGTGGAACACAAGTTTTCCAGTTGGAAGGTTGGCAGGAAACGAGACAGCAGATTGGGTGGAAGGGTTGTAGATGGCGGGAGGTGATCTTGGAGGGAGAAGTGATTGACGGGAGGGTGGCTGGTAGGTGATAGGAAGACATGGACAGCAGGTCACATCCTAGGGAAGGTGGCGACAGGGGCAGCTGGATGATGCATGGAGACCGGCTGCTAGGAAAAAGGGAGGAGGATGTGGGGCTGCTGGAAGAGTAGTTGTCGACAAGGAGGTAGAGTGGAGGTGGAAGTCGGAGAGGATAATCACCACCGGAGGAGAGGGATACACCAGAGCACCACCCTACACGTCAGATACAGCTCTAGACAGAGAAAATAGGATGTCAACGCTATCCACTCAGAACTAAAATCAGAAACAACATAAAACTAAACCCTATGACACAAAACATTCATATAAATACTAGTAGATGTCGGAGTGGGCGACAATTCCAAGACTAAGGGTCTGTCGTCTTTCCCACTCTAAATTGAACCGGTTAAGACCAGACCGTTTCGTTAGGGGAGGAAAACCCTCATGTCAAATTTGATTTGAAAAATTTTCTTTTTGTTTATAATCTTATTTCTATAAATAGAGATAGATGACTTGTATTCATTATTGACTATTGATCAAATGAAAATTATTTTGAGGCTAATTGAGTGATCTCTTAATCCAAATTGTTTATGAGGATCACCACAAGTTATATATGCGGAGTTTCTTTCTATTCACCTCCATCACTTATATTTCCCGAGACATTTCATGTTCAGACACATATAAGGAAATTTATCAGGTTTAGTATGTTTTAATGTATGTGTGCACGGGCATGCACATATGATTATTTTAATGGGATGGGTTGTAGTGGCAAAAAACTTTTAAAGAGTTTCTGTCATTAAATTTCTTGATGAGTGCTTTGAAGTTTAAAATTTTACACAATCAATGTTGTTTAGGCAACTTGATCTCTCAATTAGACCTATGAATGAGGCAAGTTGAGACTAAAGTGCTTTGCAAAAATCTTAGGCTGGCGTCACCACTAAAGCATACTTAGCACCTTGCCTTTAATGCTCTAGGAAGTAAGGCAACCTACTTGTTTTGGTAAGAGATTTGTGTAGACACTATAATCTCAAAAGATGCTTTAATTTTTCTTGATGATAATTTCACAGAAGTGCGGTAGAAAGAACATAAAAATTAATGAATAGAGAGTTCACTCTAAGAAATATGTTTATACAAATGTAGGTACTCGATTTCACTTATAAATCTTGAGAATCATTAAGGATGTGATGAAGATGATTGTGGGAAGATAAAGGAAAGATGGAGTACTTGAAAGAAATGCAGTGATGGGAATGTTAGAATAGAATATTTCTAGGTTATACATGCTAAAAGCTTAAGCATTTTACTGAATCTTTTTAATGGTGATCTATGCACAAAAAATTTTGGATTTGGAACACAATGGAACTTAATTTCTTAATTTAATGTTATGGCATTATTATCACTTCATACCTTGAAAACATATTAATTATACTTCACAATATTATAAATGTTATAAATATTATTTTTTATTTTCTAGTGTTCAGGAATTTTGCAATCATATCTTTCTTTTTTGCCATTTGCTGTTAGGTCTGCTTCTTAACCTTCACCGCAGGTCTCTAATGAGGTTTTTTTTTTTTTTAAATAATTTTGTTGATAACTTCTACACATGGCATACTTTTGGCTTGATCGCCAGCATTCGGCAATTTTCTGAGTTCTAAGGTCAAGTATTAGTGAATTAATTTAACAGTAGAATTTGATTAATGTTATGGTCCTGGTCATTGAGTCAGCATTTCTATTCTGTCTTTTATATCTCGACTTGATTTCCTTGCTTCTTTGAGCTGATTTACCAAGCCAATCATACTGTTATCTTTCGATAAACTGATATCTAATACCATGAATTCTTTTTATGTATTTTTTTATACGTAGAGAAACATGCTTTTATTGATTAGCTAAGTTGCAATTATAAATTCACCTTTGGGATGCTTAATATAATATATTAAAATTTTGTTGTTTTTTACCTGGCCTGTCGATTTGTTAGCTATGATTTTATTGATTTTTCCAGAGGCGTTTATTCATATCTCCAATTTTCATTTCTGTAAACAGGTCTTAAAAATACATTTGAATATGAAGTAGGTACTTCATGCTAGTTATTTTGTCCACTATGGTAATATCTTCCTCATTCAATACATGAACCATGATATTCATGTATTTGCAGGCTGTGCCTGAGGATAAATGGTTTTGCCCATCCTGTCGATGCCATATTTGCAGTTCGAGTGAATTTAATCCTGATACTGAAAAATTCTCTGATAAAACAATGTTATATTGTGATCAGTGTGAGCATGAATGTAAGTCTTATACCAACTTATTTCCTTGAATTTTGTCTGACATATTATCAATTTGAAGTATGTGCTCTTATCTTTTGCAGACCATGTTGGATGTATGAGAAAAGGAGGATGGAAAAATTTACAGTCATGTCCAACTGGAAATTGGTTTTGTAGTGCCAGTTGTTCAAAGGTTTTTTTAATTAATTATACCATTCATTTACTTTATCGATTTCTTTCTGCAATTGCTTCTTTTCTGCTAAAGAACTACTTAGCCTTTGCATGCCAAATACTAGTTCTCTAGTTTCGTATATTAAGCATTAAATTTGCGTTTATCTCCATAGGTATGCTGTTAGCCTTGCAAGGGTGAAACTTGGAGCAATGGATATTTTCATCATTGGCCTTATTGTCATAGGGTTGAAACTGCGAAAAAAACTCATTCTGTTACGGGGATTTACTTGCCTTAATGAAATATCTCTCAAACACCGCAATAGTGGGAACGTAATGCACTCTGTACCCCCTTCCAAATAGGGATAGCCTTGCCCAAAATAAAATAAACTAAATACTTGATCTTGTTTAAATCTTCTTGATGAATAGAATTATGTGCATTTTGTGTGTACTTTTGTTTCAGAATTCTTTTGTTAATCATCAAGGATTAACCAGATATACTTACGGCTGAATTTGTTACAAAATATTATTAGCTTCAGAATACTTTATTGCATGTAATTTGTGTTTTGACTTTTTCATCTAGTTCAAATGATGTTATTTATCAATTTGATTCTTTCAGACTTTTGCTGTGGATGTTGTTGCATTTTGTTGAATAAATTTGTCCACCAGTTTTGTTAACTTCATTTCTATTTTTTATCTTTTATCTTAGTTGTTGAGGAATTCAGCCTCTTTTTTATTACCTGTGTGGAATAGGAGCTAGAAACTGTTGAGAGAAGATGCACTGAATTTTACATTTTGTATATGTTTTTTCATTACTGAATATATACTTCAATAAATAAGAAGAGCTCTTGGTTATTTTGAAAGATTGTTTAGTTCATTAAAATTGATGATACTAGGCCTTAATTAAAGAATTTCTATTTTAACTAACTATGAAATGAGAATTTTTACATATTTTGTAGAATAATGAGATCTATTATAAATATATCCAAATCATTAAGTGAAGCGGGATTTGATGGAAGTCCTTGAGTTAATTGATTTAGGTTTAGTTGAGATACAAAATCATGAAGGATATTAAATTGACCTCGATTTTGAATTGGACTCATTGTTCTCAAGTGTGCTTTGGCTTGGCATTGTCATCTTGGTTTGTAATCTCAAACTGAGGCCTTTCTTGACACTCAGGAGTGATTGAGAGAAGTAATTCGACATGCTAAGATCTTTTCTCTTTCTATAGTTTATCCCTATGTAGAATGTGAACCCCATTGAGGGATCCCTATCAAGTTTTTGATGGGTTTCATTAGGCTTGATTTTTTATTTGCCCAACAAGGGACTTCAATCCTGACATCGGAAATTTTCATTTGTTGGTAATGGGGCTCTATCACGACATTAGAAATTTTCATTTGTGAAAGTAAAATGCCACATCACGGAATGGCACCACGGGGCTTCAGCTGTTGATATAAATGGAGGTACCAATGTAAACATTTTAAATTGTCGTTATTTTAGAATAATTGAAATTTTTGAAAAATCCTCGAGAGTTGACGAAGAATGTTAGAAAAGCACTGCGGTGTGCACCTTCTAATTAGTTAATTCTCATGAATATCAATTTTCTTTCTATTTGGATGACTTTAACATGTAAAATTGGCAAGATTTTTTTGAATGTAATTCACTACACATTAAAGTTGATGGCTACTTATATTCACATATTTTTAAAAATATGCAAATCTAATATATTTAAAATTATAATTCTCTAAAAAGGTTGCACGATTATAATAGCAAAAATTAAAATTTTGTTGATCATTAAGATTAAGATTGAGTATGAAATAAATATAGGGGGCTAGCTAAGGAAGCACTAGGGTTCTAGGGTTCTTTGAAGGATGCTGCTAAAGTTTAATGTTAGATCGGTATGAGTTGAGAGAAAAACTCATGAGCATTAATAAAGGGGTCTAGGGTTTGTGGCTCTGTTTGTTAGGAAACTAAGGGAGAGAGAGAAAAAGAGTGGTTAGTCCATGAAAAAAAAATTTATAACTAGAGAATTCAACTAAGATCTCTAAGGAGAACTCAACTAAGATCTCTAAGGAGAACTCAACTTTAGCAGCATCCTTCAAAGAACTTTAGGGAAGCACGGGGGTTCTAGGGTTCTTTGAAGGATGTTGCTAAAGTTTAATGTTAGATCGGGATGAGTTGAAACTCATGAGCTTTAATAAAGGGGTCTAGGGTTTGTGGCTCTGTTGAATAGGCAACTAAGGGGGAGAGAAAAAAAATGGTTAGTCCATGAAAAAAAATGATAACTAGAGAACTCAACAAAGATCTCTAAGGGGAAGCTATCAAGCCATCCCTATAATTGTATGAAATCAACCAATCAAATAATTTTTCATTTCTCTTGTTCATTCAAGCCTACTCTAGTAGTGTATATATATTTAAAGCCCAAAATGGCTAATATATTAAATAGAAAAAAAGATACAGATACAATGTGTGGGAGGACCCAAACATGGCATTCTGTCCATACAAAAAATCACAAAAGGTTTCAAAACTAGAAAAAAAAATACATTAAACACTGAAATAAAAAGCCTAACAATGTTGAAATACATAGTATCAGGTGGCTAGAGAGTGACCCAATTTGGACTTGCCTCTGCCTCTAGTTCTAGGTAAAAAAACAAGCTAATAAGTTGGTAAGATGATTGTCATTGTCAGTAGTAACCAATGTATCATCCAATATGTTCCCGAGTTGGAGTCGGCCTCCATTCTTCTTCCTCCTGGAGTAGACCTGTCATTCCTCATCCGAAGAATCAGTCTGATGGAGTGGTAGACCTGAAGCATAATGAATATCAACCCTAGTACCCACAATAGGTTCTAGTATATGTGAAGTATGAGTCGCCTCTCCACCGGATACTTTCTGAAAACGTGGAGCTACGAGGCTCTCCGGATTATCAATCTGAACACTATCATTTGTAGGTAATAGTCCATCAGTATTGTTTTCTATGAGGTTTGAAGGTGCAAGCATCACATCACTCGCAATAACAGTAACGACAGGGGCAATAGAATCAAACACCAAAATCTGTTCTGTGGTAGATTTCTCTCTAGGTGGTACAGATATATCCTTAGAACCATCCTTATTCATTTAATCTTTAGATTTCAAATTAGGGTGAAACTTATGACATTTATCAAGAGTATGCCCAAACATCTTACAATGAGAATAATAAAAAGGTCTATGCTCCATGACGATTTGTTGCCAATATCCATTATGCGTTGTGCCCAACCAGACTTCAGTAACATCGGGCAAAGTAATATCTCTTTCCACAAGTATTCTGGTCATAGAAGGTCTGGTTAGGTTGAAAGTGGGTAGATTTAGCTTCATAGGGTCCCCGAGTATGACCCTAATAGAGTAAAGAACCTGATGATGAAAAAAGTGCAGCTTGAGACCAGGTAGAAACCATACCGATACAGTATGAGATTCATGATTAGGGTCAAAATCAGGAGACTACTTGAGTAACTTCATTGACTTGTCTGCAATGTTAAGATATTTTTTTGGAGAAAATTCCAGTGCAGTCTTCAGCCACGATTAATTGAATCAACACATGTCTCTCATCCATGAGCTCCACTTTCCACTTTTCTGTTAGTTTGAGATCATCAAAACTTTTCCTGATAACTTCTATAGGTAGGTGCCCCCACTGTAATTTCCCAATAAGAGCGTACTTGAATTTCTCAGTCAGGATTGAAATTTCTAAGTCAAAGAAAAGAAGTGCTGCTTTCTCACTTTTCCTACTTACATTCTTAATAAAAAGGCAGCCACCTGTATCATCACGACACTCCTTATAACTTGAGGGAAAGACAACCGTCGACTCCACCTGAGGATTACCCACCATGTGGGCAAATGAGGCTTTGGCAGGTTCAACCGAAGAAGAAGGGAGCTTCATCACTGCAGGGAAAAGCCCTGCCAAGTGGAGCTGAAGCCGGTCGGGGCAAAGCCGCAGAAGTTGAAGTCGCGGAACAGGCGCAGCTCGACGAGCTCTATGAAGACAGAAGAAACAACCGCGAAAAGGTCGAAATCGCAGAAGAAGGAGCTTCAATGAAGCTCAATGAAGACAACAAAACAGAGGAGCTGAAGCTCTTCGTCGTCGGGTAGGACGAAACGATGACACAAATGCGTCAGGAGGAGGAGACGACATGCGAAAAAGCCGAAGGAGAGAAGCCCTTCGTCGTCGAGTACAACAAAACCTTCGTCGCCGACCACGACGAAATCAATGGATTGAAAGCCGAAGAATTCAACGCAGGGAATCTTCATCGGGCGAAACCCTAGCAGAGCTGCACGCCATATATATATATATATATAAAGCCGCAAATTTATGGTGTATAATAGGAGACGAATGTCAATATATTTTTGGATTTTTTGCTAGGATGTGTGCACCTTATGGCTTCACATGTGAGGCGCACGCCTCAAATTATGCGTGGCACACCTTGCCTATAGATTTATGAAGTTTGCACTCGTAAAATTTATAATTTGATTTATTTTATTTAAATAAATATAAATAAACATATTGCATAAATATTAATTCATTCTCTCATTCAATCATTATTAGTGCAGTTGATTAAAAGGAAATCGTCAACTATGTTCATGTACTTGATAACTTGTACGTTGTCTTGCCATAAAGTTAAGAGCTGTCCATATAACATCTAATCATAATGTCTAGAGCAATATTTATTCATAAGCATTTCTTATATTTTAATTGAGAAAAGTGTCAAAATGGTCCCCGACTCTTTGACTAATGTCATGTTACTCACAGAGTTTATAAATATGTTAATTTATTCTCATCTTTTAAAGGGGGCAAAATAGTCTTCCTTGGAGAATATTTCAGCCTAAATCACAATAGTCTGCAACTAAGTTGGCATTTTATAAACTATGGGACTGAAATGGACCCATGTAAGTATTCAAGGCACTATTTTGGCACTCTACTCTTTTTTAATTCAATTCAAGCTGTTTTAACCATTAAATTATTCTTTGGCACTTTATCACTAAAATTTAACATGTGCAGTTAGTTTGATCTGGTTAAATTAATCTTTTGATAATCATCTATGTTATATGAAAATAAACTTTTGGTATTTAATCTGTTCTTCCTAGTTTCATGTTCTAAAATTTTTATGCCGACTTTGGCAGTTGTGTTGCGACTCTAACTGAGTTTTCTCATATTTAGCTTTTATTAAATATATTAAATATTAAACATGCAGCATATTTCATTGCTTGATTGATGTTTCTTGTCATAGTTTTCATAAAACATTCAAATTGCAACTGTGAAGCTACAATCGCTTATTTTAGCTCATAATTTAGGAAGTTTTCAATTTTAAACTTTTTTTATTAAATATATTAATTACTAAAAATTAATTATTCTGTAGATATTTTTTGGCCTCCGGAGGCTTATAGGAAAATCTAAGCCTACTGCTGTTGAAGGTTTGTCATGCACCATTTTGAGATCTGGCAGAGATTATAGGGCTGACTGTGATCAGTTTGACTCTGAGCTACAAGCTGAGCATCATAGCAAGCTCTGTGTGGCACTTAAAGTACTTAATGAATGCTTCGTATCTATAATTGAACCTCGCACGCAGAGGGATATTGTTGCTGATATTCTTTTCAATAAAGAGTATGCAATTTCTCAAATCTCAGGCTCTTTTAATTTCTGAAGCTTGCTGTGGCATTTTATGCTAATTTAAAATTTTTTAGGAGGGAATATGGACCTTCCTTTCTCTTTGGAAAGAAAATGGAAACACTGCCTAATATACTCATTTTCTCAAGTTATATAAAGTTTGCATGCAATCTTTTGACTTGTGAAATTAATTATTAGTGCCTAGTTTGACGAAGAAGTTGATGCAATAAAATATTGATTAAGGTATTGCAAGAGAGAATTTCATTGGTCAAAATAAAATAAAGATACCATACAATCTTCAATTGTCAATTGTGCAAGCTGCAAGTCTCTATTTATAGAAATAGAGCTATAAAGTTCTGATCACATTTCAATTTGAAATCTAATTCTAAGTAAGTGTTTGAGTACGAATATATTATTACCTCCAGAGTATGACAAAAGCTAATAAGATAAACCACATAAGAAAATAGAGATTTAACCAAAAATAAAAATGCACCTAACGATGCATGAAAAATGTATCTGGCTTTGCTCTTTTGTAACCCAATCTAATTCCTTTCGTTTGGCCTTTGAAGGCTTAGTTTTTCTTAGGCTAAACTAACTGTCCTGTACCACATCAGAGATTTGATTTGTTTTCCTTAGCATTATAACGCTTAAAAAAACCCTTTTCCAATCAATGTGCACTGAGATCAACCAAACCATCTTGTTAGGCTGTATTCTGCTGATATGACTTCTTTTTTTATGGTTTTTACTGTTGATCATCTTGCAGGTCTGAACTGAAACGATTGAACTTCTATGGATTTTATGCTATGCTTTTAGAGAAGGGCGATGAGCTGATATCTGTTGCCACATTCAGGTTTTATTTGGTTTTGCTTAATTAGAATAGTTTTTTTTTTTTTTTTTTATTTTTGGTACGGGCCTAATGCCCTTTTAAATTTGTGTTTTTATGTTTTATTGTGAGCTATTCATCCTATCCTTGCATATGTCTCAATTAGGATCTATGGTAAAAAGATTGCGGAAATGCCGCTTGTCGGGACTCGTGTGAAATATCGCCGACAAGGAATGTGCCGGCTTCTATTAGGTGAAATTGAAAAGGTTTGTTTAGCTTTGCTTTTATAGTTTTTGTTCATAAATTTAGCATTGAGAAAATTTTACCATGCGCATCAATTTACGCAATCTGTGGATTAGAAAAATACTTTCCAGTATTCATGATAGTTACCTCTGCTGTCCTTATTCAGGAACTGTCTAGGGTTGTTGTGGTCAAATAGAGAGCTTTATGTAATTTTCCTCTTGGCGCCGGACTCTAATTTAAAACTCGTCTCCCATAATCTTAATTCACTCCTGTACTGGCCAGCTTTTAACTCCAGCTTATCAAAAGATTTGCTCCATATGTTTATTATCATTCTCCCTTCATGAACCTACCTTAAAGTTCACGTGTTGAATAAATTATAGGACACACCCTCACGGTGAAGCTGAGGTTAAAAAAAAAAGTTGTAACTTAAAAAATGTGACATCCATGATAAGAAATATTTTGTTTGAAAATAGGATCCAAACATTTATTTCTCTTTTGAGTAGGAGCACAATGAACAAACACATTTTTTTTTACTCAAGGTTTAAGTTTTTTTGGTTATGACTATGAATGTGAAAAAATGCAGTATACTCAAATATCTTTAAAGGCAAAGAAGACAATAGTATTGATAATTTATAAATTTTATGAGGTATTCTAATAGTATTTATAATTTGGTGGGTAAATTTTAAGGTGAAGAAGAAATAGTAGTTTAAAGGTAAAGAAGAAAATAGTATTTATAATTTGTTGGTAAATTTTATGAAAACATTAAAAAGTATTTTAAAGTTTATAAGTTTATTGGGTATTCTATTTATAAGGAATCTAACAGTGAGAATAGCTTCACCCCAAATATATTTTGGCCTTGATTTATAAATAGTAATATCCGAGCTATTTCCAATAAGTAATTATTTTTTCTTTTAGCCACACCATTCTGTTGTGGGGTTTCGACACAAAAATTTTGATGATCTATTTCATTTTTGAAAAAAAAAATTGATCCAAAATATTTTTGATATACTCTTAGTCATTATCACTTAGTAATAATTTAATAATTTTTTGAAATTATGTTTGTACCATGGTGTTATATTTTTTAAAAATTATTTACACTTTAGATTTTTCTTTCATTAAATATAACCAACTTAAACTTTTGTTATCAGTAAATGTCACAAATCATTTTTTCCCAGAACATGTAAGAAGCTTATAAAGTTCTCAGATATCAATATGAATTTGAGTAAATGATGTAGTAGGTTTGTAAATTTGGGGAGAAAAAGACGCACGGTAATGTTTAGCAAACTAACAAACTTCACATTAGAAAGATGACAAATTTTATTTTGAAATAAAATGAGAAACAAGAATTTTAAATGTTAAAAATTAAGATAATCTAGCCTATAATGTCATAACATAATATCATCTTTGAAAATAAACCCAAAATTTAAGCAAGTATTTTGACATTATCTATTTGCATCAAGTTCATTGTCAAAATAATAGAGTTCATTCTTTTAACTTGGTTAATCATTCTCTCACTGGTCAATTCATGAAACTCACAACAAAAAAAGGTAAAAATTAGTTGGCACTAATGATCGAAAATAATTTTACTAATAGAAAATAGATTACAAGACAAATTGAGAACATGGAACATATCACGAAGGGTTAACAAATAGTTGGTTTTGACGGTTCCTATCCTGACAATTACCTAGAGAGAATCATCGACAATTTTGGTTTTTTTATTTCCTGCATAGGGTTTATAAGATAAGAATATTTAGAATACCCAATCAATCATATTATCACTTGCACCATAATCAATTATGCAAGATTGAACAAAATTAGGATTAACACATAATATTGCAGTGTTTTGAGAATTTCTCTTTTGTATTAAAGAGTAAGACAGAGTCGGTGACAATTTTGACTATAAATAATTTGTGCAAATGTTCTAATTGCTCTTTGGTGAAAGGAACTGCATCCGAGTTTGCAGAAGACTTTTTAGTTTCCTCAACTATGGGTTGATAGGCTCGACATTCTCGTTTGGATTTTGATTTCCTATTCACAAGTTCACCATAAAGCTTCCAACTTGTCTTTTTTCTTATGTCATGATTTTTTATATTACTCGTACCATCATGGGTACGAAGAAGTTGTTTCAAAATTATTTTAATAAGGAAAACAGTAAATTTTCTTTGGTTGCTCTTAATTGCAGACTTGTATCACAACATTAGAGGAAAGAAGAGGATGGGACAGAGCTACGAATAGATTTTGATCGTGAGTTAATTTGGTGCTTAATTGTGCATCTGAGGAGAAGTCGAAGGATTTAGCGAAAGAGAAAACCGTAGTCGGAGAAAAAATGGGTGGAGAAGGACCGAAGTCCTCTTATTGATATAGCTACAGCGAAAGCAACAGGAGTTTCTATAACTTTCCAGCGAGATCCCGACTAGGTCGACTTGTTTTCTTAACTTCTGAGCAAGATTCTTTGTTGGAAGTGAGATGCGGGAGAGTAGTTCCTTTTTGCGAGGCAGGCGATCCATTTTGCACGTTGGAAGAGTTCAAGATTGAACGGGAACTCCTGTACACTGCAATCCAGTCGTTGCCTACCCAGATAGCTTGAATCAAGATTGCATTGCAAAGTATAGTCAATTAGCTTATGGTTTTGAGCGAAACCAGAAGAGCAGAAGGGACAGAGCTTCGTTGATGATTAGAAAGGTGAGAATCATGATTGTATTGCGAGGTTCAGTTACGTAGATTGATTTGGGCAAATATGGAGTGCAGAAGAGACAAATTCATCGTTCACGATCACGAGCGATCGTTTTATATGTGACTGAAATCGTTCACTGACAGAAGTGCATATCTAGAAATCAAAGCCACTAACAGAAGTGCATATCGGCGGATTTGAAACAACAGCAAGAGAGAAAAAAACTTAAAAGCTCTGACACCATGTAATTTTTTTGGAAAGAAAAATATAATTATTCCTTTTCAATTTTCTAAGACTCATTTAAAAGATTAATAGCAATGAAAAGCTGCCACATTAGGAAAGCCACAAAATTAACCTCAAAATTCCCATGCTAGAAGAAAAGAAATAGAAAGTACCAACAATAAATAATTCTATATGTAGAAAGCTATTAAAAATAGAAAAGAATAAAAATAGAAGATATCAAAAGTGGAAATTTTTAAAATTGTGACAAAATAGTATTTCTACAACATTGATTGTTCAACCTGAAAATCCAATATAATAGAAGATACCAAAAGCGGAAACTCTTAAAATTTTGGTAAAATAATATCTTTCCAACCATTGATTGTTCAACTTGAAAATCTAAACTATATTGTATCAACAGTGGGTCTAGTTTTTTTTATATTGAAAATGGTTCTTGTCTTCATATAATGACATCTCATGATGTTCATAATCATATAATAAACTAATAAAGATGAAATAGGAAAAAAAATTACGACATTGGTACCATTTGACATTGTCCACTCGCAGCAAATGACAACTCAAAAGAAAAAGCCTACGAATGTTTTGCATCGTCCAAAATCCATGAAACACCCAGGTCATGTCCTTATTAAGCCTTTACCACGTGATCAACCTACTTCTTTGAATTATGAGTTTTTTAGTCCTGAAATTTAGTCTAGCTTTAATCCTTAATCTAATGATTTTAGTCTTCTCATTGTTGTTTGGAAGGGGATGAGGTCTTGCACCCAACATCCATTATCTCATTATGTGCCATATGAAAATCTTTCACGCATTTTTCGAACTTTTAACTCATATTTATTGTGTATGGAGAATCCTAATACTGTGCATAATGCTCTAAAAATTTCTAAGTGGAAGGAAGCTTTCTTCATGAAAATGAAAGTTCTGAGAAAAAATGAAACGTGGAAATTGATTGATCTACTTAGAGGGAAGAGAATTGTCAAATGCAAATGAATGTTTATAGTCAAATATAACTCTAGTGGCTCTTTAGAACGGTAAAAAGCTCGACTTGTCATCAAAGGATATACTCAAGCCTATTGTATTGATTACTTAAGAGACATTCGTCTCATTTGCAAAATTAAACTCTATAAGGGTTGCAATTAATCTTGACTGACCCCTACAACAGTTAGATGTAAAAAATGTATTTTTCAATTGAGACTTAAAGGAAGAAGTGTACATGGATGCACCTCTAAGATTTAGTGAGAAGTTCAACACAAATGTGTGTAAACTAAAAAGTCTCTATACAGGTTAAAGTAATCACTAAGAGCGTGATTTGATAAATTTACACTGTTTGTTAAAGATTTGGGGTATACTCAAGTGCAAGGAGATCATACATTGTTCTTCAGGCATTCGAAGGATGGGAAAATAGTCATATTGATTGTGTATGTGGATGATATAATTCACACCGAAGATAATGTAGATGAAATGAACAAGTTGAAGATGTGCTTATCATCAATTTTTTAGTCCAAAGATTTATGATATCTGAGGTATTTGCTTAGCATAGGGTTTTTCAGATCAAAGAAAGTGATTGTTGTTTACTAACAGAAACTTGTTATTGGTTTTCTAAAGGAAATTAAGATTTCTCGTTATAGGCCTGCAAACACTCCAATTAATCCCAATCAAAAAGTGAGAGATGAGAAGAAATGTGAACCAGTGAATACAACTCAATATCAAAAGTTGGTGGGAAATCTGATATACATATCACATACAAGGGCACATATCGCCTTTGCTGTGTGTTTGGTAAGTCAACTTATGCATTCATTATATGAGAAACACTTTAAAGCAATTAAAAGGATTCTCAGATACTTGAAAGGTACACCATGCTGTGGTCTTACTCTTTCAAAAGACCACGTAAACTGATGCATATTGGGTGGGCTCAGTTGTTGACAGGAGATCGATATCCGTATATTGTACATATTTTTAAGAAAATCTGGTTACATGGCGAGGTAAAAAATAGAATGTAGTGGCAAGGAGTAGTGCCAAAACAGAATATTGGGCTATGGCTAATGGTGTATGTGAGATGTGATGGCTGAAGTGAATTATTGAAGAGTTGTGGATCCCGATAAATATGCCAATGAAGTTGTACTGGACAATAAAGCTGTCATAAGCATTGTACAAAATCTAGTGCAAAATGATCACTAAAAAATGTGGAGATTGATAGACACTTCAAAAAAAAAAAAAAAAGAGGATTAATTGTGGAGCTATTTGCATGTCTTTCACTTTGAGAATGGAGCAAATAGTAGATATCTTCACCAAAGGATTTTTCAGGCCTAGTTTTGAGTTTTTTGTAAGTATGTTGGACATGATAGATATTTATGCTTCAACTGTCGTACTGGAATATAGTTCCCTATGTTCAAATGTATAAAAATAGTGTTCTTCTAAAACCTTTCCAAACGTCTTTTTTGGGTGGAGTTAAGTGAAAACTGAACGCCAAAACATAGCACTAATTTGCTTCATGTTGTTTTGAAAGTTCTAGAAGGGCCTTTTTGGATAGTCTATGTTTACTTCAAATTTTTTAGAATGGTTGGATTTTCATGGAAAAATGGAATTCTCGTATTCATGGTACATTGGAGGCATATGTTTTTATGTATTTACAAGTTATTTAAAATTTCGATTTAGTAAGAACGTCATATTCATCATGGCATACCATTTATACTCGTCTTTATTTCAGATATGCTATGTTTTATGTACTAATTTCTAAATATACAGAAGCTTTTGCTGCCCAATTCTTATAATTCTTCTAATGTTCTTGATGTAGTTTATCATATACTAAATAATGTTTTCATTCCATATATACTTTATGTATATCCAATGTGTGAAATTTCTATCTTCGCTGTTCTCTTCCTTAACTATGCTTTTCTTTGTGATATAGCTTCTTGTATCAGTTGGAGTGGAAAGATTTCTACTACCGGCAGTGCCTCAACTACTTGAAACATGGACTTCTTCATTTGGATTTGAGAAAATGAGCAATACTGACAGATTGAAGCTTTTGGACTACACTGTTTTGAACTTCCAAGACACTACAATGTGCCAGAAAGTCTTGAGGGTGGCCCCAGGTGCTGACTCTAAATCAGTTGCTTTTTTCAAAATAAAAAGCTTTCTACTTACCTATTATTTCATTCTTTAGTAAATCAATAATTGGTGAGCTTTTCTTTTTTTCTTCAAGTTCATGTTCCGTAGTGCAATGACATGCTCTCTCTTTTAGTAAATTGTCATTATTAATATCACTATAAACATTACCTATTAATTTTTTTTTATAAGCATCATATTAATTAAAATTATGAAGCGATTTATGACATTTTATGTTAAATATAAACTATATGATCATCAATGGCCTTGTTTTATCTTTTTGGCTTATGCGTTACGACTCCTCATTTTTCATTCGTGGTGATTTATTCTTTGCAAATTATTTTGAAAAACTTTAATTTTAAATCAGATATTAACAAGACAAATTATAACAAACTAGTAAGCATTAGGGCGCACACATGATGTGATAAGTAGTGCATTATATTAATTCATCATTCTACTTTCCTTTTTGTTTTACTGGGGAGTAAAGCAATTATCTCTTTTTTGACAATATGCAAAATAGTTTGTAGTCATATTATCGACTGCTTTCTGCATAAAAAAGGTGCATTTCACTTCTTGAAAGTTAAAATGGTGTTTTTTTTTAATGTGATATGAAAGATTTGGTTGGCATAAATGTAAAAAAAGTAAATTTTAGCTGTTAGATATGTAAATATATAGTAATTGAGTGGTATTTATGTAAATCCTCCTTTAAAAATACTGGTTTACCACCACGTACTTTCACTTGAAAGTAATTGAGCGGTATTTATGTAAATGTCCCTTTAAACAATCCTGGTTTAGCACTACCTACTTTCACATGAACAAGCACAACCTATTTTGGATTGTTTACTGAGCAAATCTTTTTAGCTTTTTCTAGCCGTGCAATGCTTTGCTCTATAAGAACATTTTGGGATTTTAGGCAATATAATTTAATTTGGAAAAAATACATTTAATGTCTACTAAAGGTCATTTTTTTTTTGGCAATATCTCTGCAGATAATTCCAACAACGATTTAGGCTCTGAGAAAAACAAACATCCTAAGAGCGTAGTAATAGCATTGCCGTGCTTCGTCAACAAGTACAGTCCTTTGTTCTCCGCAGCTGGAACTTGTTGAACAAACAAATCATTAAAACTTATGCGCATTGCTGAACCAAACTTCACTAGAATGTGTAAGCATTTTTTTTCTGACATGGTTCCATATAGAATTAAACTTTCAGCAATTACAGCATTGGTTTGATGCAAGTTTTGAACTTCCCTAAAATGTAGATTATCATTTCCAAATTTTCGAATAATTAAATCTCCAGTCTAGTTATTGAGGAATTGCTCCAGCATGGTAATGGATCTGAGCACCTCAAGCTCTGTAGGCAGAATATATCATCTCAAGGAAACTGTTTCAAGGCAAATGTGATTATTGTTTTAATGATGCTGAGAGACTCAATCAGTAGTGAGGATGCTTTATCAGAAAAAGATGGTATTGTACAGATCGAGAGTTCTCTTAGACTTGGGCTTTTTAAATTGAATGGTAACACTTTCTATTCCTTTTTTTTTTCTCATTTCTGTACCCATGGTGTGGAATGTAAATTTTGGTTGCAAGGGTACTTGTTTGCTGTTTTTCAGGCTTTAGGCGGCTTTAAGATGAGAAGTTTCTCATATGGGGAAGTCATATTTGAGACCTCATTGACTAAAAGTTTCATTGGGGGTTCAGTTTTGTTCGAAGCTCTACTGGTTTCATTACTTTTTGTGTTTATTCGAGAGATTATTTTGAATTCTTGTAGTTAATATTTAAATGGTTGCAGATAATAGGATTTAAGAGTTTATTATTCTAATCCAAGATTTTAGCAACTTTCAATGCTCTTTATCGATCGGTTTAGTTGATATCCGGCGCCTTAGCTGCGTTCTAAAAAATTAGGATGAGTTACACACATGCCACCACTCAAATCTTTTATATTTACAAATCTAACATCTAAACTGTAATTTTTTAGATATGTGCAACCGTATCTCTGCATGGAAGCTTGTGTTTAGCCTTAAAGTCACATCTTTGATGTGATGATTTGTAATTGAGTGATGTGTATGCGAATTTGCCAAAAAATTAATGCAATGATGTTAATTGACTTGTTTATATTTTGTTCAGATTTTGATAAATTTGGTCGAGATTTTGTTTCAATGGTAAACGAGTTAGTTATCACAGATTAGAAACCGAATCTAACAACCCTGTGAAACGCAGGCGATCTTTTAGGCATCAAGAACTGAAAATAGATTTTGAGCTGCATTATTTCCCATTTTTTGGTTTCTTGTTATTGACTTCAGGTGAGCCCTTGCTGCAGCAAGAGTAATTGACTCTTGTGGATCATAAGCTGAGAGATGAACACAAAGAGCCGCTTAGCCAGATGGGTCGAGTGACGGCCTTCGGCGTGGGAGTGTCGACGCTTGGCCGTCCAGGTACAGTTAGCCTTGCAGAGTTCTGCAAGAAAAATATTCAAAAGATTGAGTTTTTGGTCATTTGATTCTAGTTTTGTGATGATTTTCTTATTGTGGGGTTGTGGTAATTGGTAATGGCTTTAGCTGTTTTAATAAATCTTGTAAATTCAAAATTTAATTGAGGCAAAATTGAGGAGAAAAGTAAAAAAGAAATTGGATTTATGGGATCCAGGATTTGAAAGTGCAGCTTTTGCTTTGTGATAAAATTGAAGTTAAATCCCACTTGCATCAATTTCCAGACTTCTCCTAAGGCTTTGTGAAATTATGACTCTAAATTGTTACATGAGGGAAAAACTTTCGAACACAATGCTCTGATGTTATCAGGAACAAAGGGGTGCTTGCTCTGATGGTGGCAAGAGCAGATGTTTCAATGCGATAGATAACATCTTCAATAGCATCAATGGTATCTTGATGTTCAAGGAAAAATAAATTCAGATATAGCTTAAATTTTAGGATTTTCTTCTCGATACTGGGGTGCCTGCTCTTTGTGCCTCCGAAGGTTTGACTGTTTTAGTAGACTTAGAATTGCTTCTCCAATTCATCTAGGCTAAAATAAAGCTAAACGGCCTCTGGTCTAACCCCTAAGTACATAGAGAGTTCCATTGGTTTTGGATTTCAGAGAAATGTTGGTGATGCTAAAGAATTCTTTGTTTTTTTGAATGTCTGCTCACAATCTTCCAATCAGGTGAATTTTTTTTTGCTTTCCTTAATGGTTTGAAGAACATTGCACATTTATTGCCTAACTTGGAAATGAATTGACAGTCCTACGATCCAACCGTTTTGCTTCTATTCTGCCTTACTGTTTCGAACGGAAAGTATGTTTAGCAGTGCTTGTACTATTGTCAGATTATGCTAGACTCCTTCAAGGGTTAAGAGATAGCCGGGAATTTTTCCCGTCGAGGCCTCGAGGGTGCATTTGAGTTGTGTTGTTCCACCTATTTATTTTTAACTAATACATCATCCACGTACAACTCAATATGTTTACCATTTTGTTTAGAAAATATTATATTCATCAGCCACTAGTAAGTAGTCCCAATGTTTTTAAGCCTATATTATGACAGAACACACCGTCATTGGTTATGAAGGTAGTCTTCTCCAAATCAATTGTGTTCATCTTGATTTGGTGGTACTAGGAGAAGGCATCTAGGAAGCTTGTCGCTAAATGGCTTAATAAGTCCACCAGTTTGTTGATCTTCAATATGAGTTGCTATCCTTTGGGCAAGTAGAGTTCAAGTAGGTGAAGTTGATGAACATCCTCCACTGGTCATTTGCATTATGCACCATAACCACGTTTGAACCTAAGTTGAGTAATACAAATCTCGGATGCACTTGGCCTCCAGTAGTTTTTGCACCTCCTCATATATAGGTTTAGCCAGAGCAACACCTGAAGTCTTCATTTTATGCTTCATCAGTCGGGCAGCAAGATTGATATTCCGTCGGTGGCAAGCAACATCAACTAATATCCATGACATCTCTGTTACTGACCATGCAAAGATCTATTAGTGCTCTCAAAGGGTTCGGATATGCAAGTCCTTTGATCCTGCATCAAAAGCTTCACTTCTCATGCTCTCAATCAATGGGGATTAGGTAAGTAATCCCGCTGACCTCGAGCCCCTTAATGTAAGTTATGATGGTTGAGCAACTCCTACTCCACGCTTTTGACCTTATGGATGTAGCAGGTACAAGGCTGCTCCAGATTGCCCCAAATGGTAATGATCTCATCCTCGCCTGTGAACTTCACTACAATGCACTACGTTAAGACCACAACCTTGAAAGTCATTGAGCAAGGGCTGACTAAGTTGATTGAAGATGGCATTGTTAGTTTGCATTGAATCGACCACCAAAAAGCCTTTCATGCAAGTGAACTGCTTCTCAACTTCTCCCACGCTGACCTCCAGGGCAATTATTCTAAGGCTTCCTTTCCCTCGCCTTAGAAGCCATAAATTAGTATGGCTGGCTATGTCAGGCAATCATCCTTAAGTTCCATCTTACCGAGCATTGACTTGAATAGAATGTTGAATGAGCTCCAAGTGTTGACTAAGATGTTATCAATCTGATAGTTGTTTATCAAGGCAATAATGATAGTTTCATTATAAGGATTTTTCTTGGGGGCAGTTCTGTGTCAGTGAATGTAATGAGAAGATGTGTGGTGCACTTTAGAGCGAAGGCGGCTGTGCATACAGTCTTCCCAACTAAAGCCTCTTTAGACTGACCCATTGCGACAAATTTTCACCTCCAAAGATTCTCAGTACCACCACAGTGATGTGAATGACACTTACTTAGACTAGTTCATCTGAAATTTCTTTGACTGGAGCATTCCCTTGCCTCTGGGTCGATGCTCTTGGTGTCACAAACTCATTTAGCTTTTCATCTTTGATCAACACTTCGACTAGGCTCCGAAGGTGTCAATATAACTATGTTTCGTGGTCCTGGTCTTTGTGGCAAGCACATTATTTCTTTGAGCCCTGAAGAAAAGATTTAGTCCTCATCAGGGATGCCTTTTTTAAAATAATTATTGTTCTGGATGGCCTTTACTGTCTCGGCCATTGAGACTCTTAATGGAGTCATACTCGGTGCTTCATGATGAGCAAGCAGACACTCGATGTAAAAAGATGTCCCAGTGGAAAGATGATTGGAGTTGTACTCACTCGAGAAGTGATTGTTGGTTAGTTTAAATAGCTTGTCTAAGGTCTGCGATGACTGCATAACTAGAGCAAACCGAAAAGGTCCTTCCTTCAACCCTTGAGCGAGAGCAACATGTGGTACTGCGAGTTCCATATTTTTCATCTTGAGCTTCTCCTTCTAGATATAAGTGATGAACAAACATAGACTCTCACTCTATCCCTATCTGAACTGCAACAGAGCTTGTGAGCTCTTCTGGGGCTATTGATTGAACATCCGCTTAAAGTTTATAAAAGTTGTGCTTAATCTCACTAGCAATCCATTAAACCATCTGAGAGCCAACTCCCTTAGTGTAGTGAAAAAACAAGTGGCACTTCAATGCACCTGTGATCCTCAGCAAGCAGATGGTGGACTCAAAGGAGGTAATGTGGTTGATCAGCTTAGTCCGACCCTTGTAGAACTCCATAGTGGGAACTTTGAATCTCCTAGGGCCTTAGCTTTAGAAATTTGTCGAGAAAATGCGTTCTTCGGATGATAGGGTTCTTCGGTTCATCCAAACCCTTGTCTATCAATTGGTGTCGATCCAACACTTTTGAGGTACTGGATATCTCCGACCCCTTCTTCAAGCATGTGAGCCCTTCACCTTCAGGCACTAGTGCTTTTTGTCATGGGTTTTATTCCCTTTCCTCAGCCAATATCTTTTTGATGATGTTTTTCATCTCATTTGTCAACTCTCTGATTTATTGTTGCATGAACTCTTTAGTGCACTCCATGATAACGGTATCTCTATTGTGAGTATCTTCTCTTTGTGCTACCCCTCTTTTTGTTGTTGGCATAATCCATGCTCATCACACCTTTTGTGATGTGAAATTTTGATTTGTCTATGATTCACACCCAAGGAATAGAGTGTAAGACATGTGAGAGGTTCTCCTTCTCTCTTTTTTTTCATTTATTTTTATTTTTTTTGTTTTATTTTATTTGCTTGGAACATGGTGAGAAAAATACATGAAAATTTCACACTAACATGCTTATTAACATAGGTAAAGCATGGATATTATTAAATTAACCCATACTCTAAAATAGGTAAAATATGGATATTATTAAACTAAGATATGCTTCTCCACATAGGTAAAACTACTTAAACATGCTTTTCAAAATAGTTAAAACCACTTACATAAGCTTTTCAACATAGGTAATATTACAAACATTTGATTTTTTAACATAATACATAGATATTATTAGACTAACACATATTCACGTGCTTTTTAACATATGTAAACATGAATATAGAGAAGATCAATAATGTTATGGGGGAGGGATAGCAATGAAAAGAAGAAAAGATGGTGATCAAAGGAGAAAGAAGAAGAATGAACAACAAAGAGGAAGAAGCAAGAATATATAGGAAAAAGTAATAACAAGGAGGAAGAAGTAAGAGAAAGGAGAGAAGAGTCATAGAGAAGCTACAGTGGGTGATTGTGACAAACAAAAGAACTTTGGACGAGTGGAAGCAGATCTAGCACCTGAGCGAAAGTGAGAATGGAAGAGGTGAGATAGTGAAGAGTCGGCATGTGTGGAATGTGATAGAAGGGGACTAAAATAGAGTGGAGAAATGATGAGGTGCACAGGTAGGCATCATATCACCAGAAAAAATGAGCGGGAGTCGCATGTATCTTCACTAGCTAGGTCGCATGGCAATGTAATTATGCTGCTCGTTTGGGTGCAGCGACATGGTCATTTCATTATAGAAGGTGGTGTGGCTACACCACAATAAAAGTGGTGTGGTTGCACTGAGCCTGGCATAGCCACACCTAAGAGTGGTGTGGTTGCACTGAGCCTGGC